AAGAAATTATTCTAACTAGCTGATTTGCTGAAGATGGTGCTGCTTGTAATAAATATATGCAACAGTAACGCAGTGGACACCTGTTAACGTTACTAAAATAGGTGAGAACTTCCATCCAATTTAAGTATCAGTCAAGACTTGAATGCACGTCAGATTATTACACTTAAGAACACAGATAGAAGATACGGGTCAGTGTCAACAGTCTAAATCTACCCAATGTGTCTCAGACTGAAGGGGCAATTTTCAGAAACAATTTCGGACTTGATAAATTTGTTAATGGCGCTTTATCAAGTCCAAGGACTCCAAAAAAGCTTCACACTAAATTCAGGCATCAACACACTGATGGTTGTGGGATACACTATACCATGAACTCCCTTTTATTGGTCCAAGATGTCATTATAATACAAACTCACAAGTGAATCATATACATACAATCATCTTAGCAGCCTGAAATCCCCCCCCCCAAAAATTAAAAACCTCAAAAACTGAGAGTAAGCAATTAATCTCTTACACAAAATAAAATATCTCCACTTCCCCATATACAAATGAATTCTTTTAAGTCTGACACCATCTTATAATAGGCAAACTCTGTCCTAAGACGTGCAGCTACCAGCCCTCTGAACATCAGGTCAACATCTACAGAACCTTTCTCCTTCATTTTATTTCTCCTGCTGAGCCAAATGCTCATCTTTGCCTGACCAAAAAAAAAAATTAACCAGACAAATATTACTCTGTTGTGCTACTGAGTATCTGGTGAGTATTGGGATACACTATAGCCATCAGTGCCTTTTGGCCACCATGGCTAGCAATGTCTTGAAGAGAAATGGGGCTAAACACTGAAAAACAGGCCAAGCTCCAACATCTATGAGCAAAGGTGTTGATGGCAGCAGCACAGCTGATATTTCTCTCCAGGATGGAGTCACAGCCAAACAGGAACAGACCAGATCAAGCTACTATGAGATTGAACTAACAGATATTGAAGAACGGGAGAATAGAGATAGAATAAAGCACAATGATGGAAAATGGTCCCTATGTCCTCCAGCAGTCTAAGCCTATAGCAGCATAACTATAGAGATAGCTCAGGATAACCTGAGCCACTCTAACTATAAGCTTTATCAAAAAGGAAAGTTTTACGCCGACCCTTAATAGTAGGCAGGGTGTCTGCCTCACGGACTAAAACTGGTAGTTGTTTAGTGCAGTGTTCGCTTGAGGTCCATCTTGTCTCTGTGGGAGTGAACAGTTGCAGCTCCAGTTTAATTAATGAAGTCTATCAGCCCGCTCCAGGTCCATTTAGCTAATGTACGACAATTTGTCTTCACACTGCAGAATGTCAAGTGTTTCTTTGAAAGGTTTGATAGGGGAGGAGTATACACTATACATACTTCAGCCATGAATGTGGGTCATATCATCAGAGTTACACATTTAGAGTTAGTCAGAGATGTGAGTCTGTAAAAGCCGTGTTTGCTCTACATTTCATCCCAGAGTGAGTCTTAGTAAAGTAAAAGTTTAATTTGTTGCTGAGGTGGTTGGGAACAAATAGTTTATTCTAATCATGAACTAATTCCATCAAATTGAACACGTGTATGAAAAGCTGGTTTCATTTGGAAAACAAATTTCATAATTTTAGTTAAGTTTTACTTACTTCACTAATTTAAAAAAAACTGCAGAAAACATTATTTATCTCATCAGATGAATGTATTGTTGCTTCCTCTGCATTCACAGGTGCGAGATAAGGTATTCTTTTCATTTTAAAAGGCGTCTTGTTAAGGTATAGAAAGGTATACATTTTCTGAATGTACATACAAATGCTGATGCTTCTGGACAGTTACCACACAAAATGGAAATGATTGAAACTGTGACAATACACAATACACATCATCTAAATTCACCAGATCGTCCAGTCAAATTGATTCAGTTTTCTATTTAAGGAAAACCAGTCATTGCATCAACTTATTGACTCAAAGGCAATCCCTCACACTAAGCATGCTTGTGGCGAGAGTGGAGAGGAAAAACTCCCTTTTAACAGGAAGAAACCTCCAGCAGAATCAGGCTGGATATTGCACTTGGAAAAACTGACATTTCACTTCCAATCCAGGAAGCTTTTTCTATTCAAAATGTCATGAATAGTCTTGAGTTCGAGGTTTTATGCAGTAGCCCAACAAAGCCCTGCGATCATCGCAGCCCTAGCCTCTGTACATGAGAGCCTATAAAGCCAGGCCAACATTCCCCGTAACAATCCCTGTTTCAAACACTTAGACAGGTATGGGGCATTGCAGGAAAACAAAGAAGCCAAACGACCCCCATTCCAAAGGGGTGGACCCGTCGTCCGTTTCAATTTGCATGTTTTCAAAACAAAAACAAGGCTTTGTTGGGCTACTGTATAAAACCTTGAACTCAACGCTATTTCTGACATTTTGAATTGAAAAAGCTTCCTGGATGGGAAGTGAAACATCTTCAAACTTAGAAAAAACAAAGTCCAGTGGATTGTTTTTAATTTTCTTTTTATGGAATCACTTCTTAAATTTCTCTTTGCTCGCCTCTAATTTATCCAGAAGTTCTGAAATCACGCTTTTTCCTCTCACTTCCAACTTGGTGGTTCAACCCACCTTCACCCCCTCCTACACCATCGTAGCTAAAGCTTCATCAGAGTGTCATTCCTCCCAGACTCTTATTACGTTGCCTGTCCCATCTAAACCGGTCCGTCAGAAGACCATGTTGAGCCTGGTTCTGCCAGAGGTTTCTTCCCAAAGGGGAGTTTTTCCTCTCCACTGTTGCTTTATGCTTGCTCATCATGGACAGGGTTATGCAACCTGTATTTATCTAATCTGGACTTCCATCTCCCAGGTCCCTGAGTAAAGCTCTAGTATCAGCTCACCCAGTCCAGTGGTGGACCTAGACTTTTTAAACAGGGGTAGCAAGGTATTATTTGGTGGGGATCAATATATAAAGGGTTAAGTTAGACTACAAACAATAATTATTTTCCAAAATGTATACAATTATGTACCGTACAATATATTATAAAGGAAGTATACAGCAAAAATAGAAATAAAAAAGTATTCAATGTGCTCCTTGGATTAATCAAATCCAGTAGTAAACAAAACCTTGAGGTAAATTTGGAAAAACAAGGCAGGACAATCAGCGGTGCACATTTAAATGTGTACCACAAAAAGAAGAATCGAACAACAGAACAAAACAAGCATACAGCCCTTTAAGACTGACTATAGTTGACCACTGCCCAGTGATATGACAACACCAAGTTCACAAAAACAATCAGAACAGCTAAATTCTGCCGTTCTGGTGAGGTGATGCAAAATGTTTAACCAAGTCCTCCATATTTAGGGAATATGCCCTCCTTGACTTAACGCTATCATCTGCCATTGTTGTCCTAAGGGTTTTTAAAATTAATGTAAGGGCAGAGAAACTTCTTTCGCAGGGAGCAGTTCTAACTAGAATCACAACCCAACTTTTACTCAGCCTGAAAAGTTAATGGAAAACCTCTTTGTAAGGTTCCAAAAACACCAACAAACTCAAGTAGAGAAGCTGGTCTCTCTCCCACTTTTTTCCCTTCTTAACAGAAGTCGCCTCTTATGATGAAGGTACTGCTTAAGGTCTTCCAAGTCTGACTTAGAAGTTTTCCCCAAAGCAAGCAGAGGCTCCTCTTTTAGGAATGATGGCCCCCAATTCCTATGCAAGGCTCTGGAAGGCTCTGCATTACACATCCCAATATGAATTATTCTACCTCATTTCTGTGTTTGTTACTGAACATTTAGCTAAGGACATGTCCTTTAAGCACCTTTACGCCAGTGTGACAGTATTCATGAGACTAGTAATTGAAGTAATACTCATAGGTAATACTTAGCACAAATACTGTGGTGCAACATCTCCCTTCCTTCCCGTTAAAACAGCACGTTGTTTAATTTGGTAGTAATAAACGTGCATACCAGCAAAGGAAATGCTTTTAATCGATCCTGTGTGCCTCTGCCTTGGTGTGTTTTGGAGTATGAAGGAACAGCATGTCAGCTTAACCAATTAAAAGTGTAGAAGAAGCAGGCTGTGTGAGGATGCATTCAGGTCCCCTGGGAAATTTGGCTGTTTTCACAAATGTTCGTAAAATTCGGTAAAAGTCTTAATGTTTTCAGCGGGGTGGCAACAAGGATTTCTTCTGGGGAGGCAATTGCTACCCCAACTAACCCTCTGGCTCTGCCACTGATGCAGTCTAATGGATCTCTCCATACGGCTCAACCACATCGTCTCACCAATCAGCAGTCTATGGAATGACCAACTGCCTCTATCTCCACCACTAGTTTCAGGGGGAGACATCCCTGTTCTTTACTCCTGTTCATGTATATCAAAACAAAATTCAGTGCTAAGGTTCCCTGCCGAGGTCCGAGTGCCAAAGAATAAAGTAATTGTATCAATAAAGTTCTTGACTTTTCTTCCTGTGTGAGTTTTTCCAAATTGAAGTATTTTTGTTGTTTCATTTGTCACCACTTTGGTCCTTTGATAAATGTGCTTTATAAATAAAGTTGGATGGAATTGAATCATACAATTTGAAATTTATAATCTGAAAAAAAAAAAAAACATTCAAGGACTTTCAATTATTCTGAAGTAAACAGGTTCAGGTCTGATTCAAGTCCCCAATCATTTCTGTTTAAGTTTGATTCAATTCAAAACTTGCACATTTTTCAAGTCAAGCCTAAAGTCATAAAATAAATGACCTCAGTCCGACTCGATTCTAAGTCAAGTGACTCGAGTCCTCTAAACTAATAATAACCATCAATAAAAAGCGCCATTACATGTTTAGATTGGTTGTTGAACTGTATCTGGTAAAATGCAGAAAAACGCAATCTAGTTGTAAATAATTTAAGTTTTACTGTAAAACAATGTGTTTTTTCAAACATGCACAGAACACAGCCTGCCGTTTTGTTTTCCTCTGTCAGGTTAGCACAAACACAAGTCACTTTAAACATCACAGAGTCAGTTCTACACATGCACCTTACCTTAATAAATACAAGAAACTATCCACATAAGCCGTAAATCCAGACGTCCTTGGATCAGTTTTATAATCTCCTCAAATTTTAGATGTAAAACCCAAGAATCGGATGGATCCAGAAGTCTGGTAGAGCCAGAAAAACTCCTCTCCAAACTCTTCTCTCAGATTCTCTTATCTGAAGTCCTTTGTCTTGTTCAGCTCACACTGGGATTGTGTGTTCAGCCAGTGCAGAGCCCTACGGTATGTGTAAGCTTTGTTTGTCTAAGGGACCACTAGACTTCCTCCAATTCTTTCCGAACTTAGTTTTCCTGCCTGAGTTAAACTGGCTAAATATAGACCTCACACAAGGTAAAGGAGGACACGCATGACAATATGCCCTTGTGCACGTTCAACTTTGTTTTTTGTTTTGCATCTTCCAGCAGCAGATTCCCCAAAACATGCACAGCAGAACTTTGCTCAGTGAATGTGTTGCAAGTTTTTCATTTGTTTTGGATTTTTCTCCATGTGATAACCAGCAGGCAGGGTGGAGCCAGCGGGAATGAGTTCTGCTGCATTGTTGTGGAGGGTCAACCCATCCTATATTTCTCTCCAATGACGTTCTACTCATTGTTTTGTCTCTGGATTTCTAAAAACAGTCTGCCTAAACAAAAGCACTAACAGCACATCCTGCCGCTTGGCTGCACCAAAACAATTCTAACTCCAGTTTGGATTGTTTGCAGACACTTTGAGTAGGGACAGCAGTGACTGTCCGGGAATCTGGTGTGTCATTTGGAACAATGTCTCATGGTGTTAAAGTGCGGTTCAAGTCCATATTTACTGGAACTGTGGTAAGACAGTGTTAGAAAAGATGGTTTAACTGTGATCCCTAGTTCTCTCATATTCAGCTTTTAACATCCACCTCATTTTTTTTTTTTAGTGTTTTTGACAGACAGATTAACATAAAAATCAATTAAATTAAGAAGATTATAGATATACATCAATTTTGTGTCCCTTTTGGGTATATCAAGGAAAAAACACACAAACCAAAATAAAAAAGAAAGAAACAAAAAAAAGACAAAGTGCCTATGTTATACCATATATCAAACCTTGACGTCTGAGCAGGTCAAATTGGTACAAGAGTATCACATATTTCAATTCAATTCAGTTTATTTATATAGCGCCACTTCACAACACACATCAAGGCACTTTACAGTTCACCAGATCATACAATCAAATTAAACGTTTTTTATCTAAGGAAAACCAGTAGTTTGCATTGACTCTTTGACTCGAAGGCAATCCCTCACACTAAGCATGCTTGTAGCGACAGTGGAGAGGAAAAACTCCCTTATAACAGGAAGAAACCTTCATCAGAACCAGGCTCAGTGTGAGCGGCCATCTGCTGAGGTTGACCACACTGCAAAAAATGTATTCTAAATAAGTCCTTTTTTCTTAATATAAACAATTTTTTCTTCAGTGTTTTTTTATTGAATTGAGGGGGTTATTGAGACATTTTGCCAATTTACACTTAAAATTAAAAACTGTTTTCTTTTCTCATTTCAAGTGCATAATATCTAATTATCTTATTTTAATTGTAAAAAATATTCATTCTATTGGGAAATCATCTTATTTACCTGCTTTAATTAAGGGTAAATACATTTAAGAATTTTTTAACTTTATTTCTAGATCCTTTTTGCAGTGTGGGGTTCAAGGAGACAGAAGCAGACAGAAAAATAAGAATAGATACAAAAGTCAACTGTAAACCAGCTCCACAGGCGGCCCTGTCCACCTGACACACAGCCAGGCGAGTGTCAGCGCTACATGGGAGCGCCGAGCCAGCTCCCATGTACAATAAATGAGTTTACCAGATTCTTATGTACACTTTAGTAATTTATTGATATGCCACATCATGTCCTTTTTGGTGATATAGAAAAGGTCACCCTAACCGCGGTCACTCAGAGAAACTAACAGTCAGTTTAAATACAGTTACAAGTGGTGTTGTACAACCTTAACTCTTGGGCACTTCCACAGCCCAAGGTGGGAGGTTCTTACAGCTTCACAGCTATGGAAGGCAGGCAGGCAGCAACGCATTTGGTCAGAGCTGCTCACAGAGCAGAAAGGTGCACCTGACACGGTGACGTCTGGCCAGAAAGGCGAGCCGGGGGCTGCTTGGTTAATTGGCAGGCTGCAGACCCAGCACATTTTAGTTGACATATTAAATTTAGGTCTGGATTGTCATGGCATTACAAGGCAATTAAGTAGGTTCCCTGTGAATTTAAATATAATTTGACCCCTAAGCAGCAGTATCCAAGGTATAAATTAAAGAAATAAAGTCAAAATTGCCAAATGTATAGTACATAATTCCGTAAAAATTCAAAAAATATCCCCTGGACTTGGTTTTCAAGATTTCAAGATGTTTCGTCACCTCTCCAAGAAGAAAACTAAACGCAAAAACATTACAATCCCTTATGTTGCTGGAGTGTCTGAAAAGCTCAAGAGGATTTTCTCCAAACACAAGATCCCCGTACGTTTCAAGCCAAACCAAACCCTTAAACAGAGGCTAGTGCATCCTACAGATAAAACCCCCAGACCGAATATGAGCGGAGTGGTATATGCTGTTCAGTGCAGCGAGGAATGCTCTGATCTTTATATTGGAGAAACCAAACAACCTCTCCACAGACGCATGGCCCAACACAGAACAGCGCCCTCCTCTGGACAAGACTCTGCAGTACACCTACACCTTGTGGACAAAGGACATTCTTTTGAGGACCAGAATGTTCACATTCTGGATAAATAAAATAGGTGGTTTGAGAGGGGCGTGAAGGAAGCCATCTAAGTTTAAGAGAGAAAGACCAACTTTAAACAGAGGTAGTGGACTCATATTCCAGCTTCCAAAAACATACAATTCAATCATAGACATGATCCCTTCTAGATATCACCAAACCCCCCACCCCATCAGAGAGGAATGAGGGACCTACCCGCTCCAGCCGGTGAACAATACCGCCTTAACGACCGACCCTTAACAATCATAGACAGGTTTCACGTATTACAGGAGACAATCCCCCCCTTAACGGCAACACCCCCCCCCCCCCCCCCACCCCCTTTTACGACCGATCCTCAGAATCATAGACAGGTTCAGATATTACAGGCTAACGATGGAACCAAACGACCCATTCATTGGTTACCATTTGCATGTTTCCAAGCAATACAAGGCGTTGTCTATATAAGACTCAGGCCCCGTCCACACGAAGTCAAAACGAACACGAAACGCTGATATTTTCCAAAACGTTTTCCGTAAAGACGGAGACGTAAAATAAATGTGAGCGTCCACACGAATGCATGAAAACGCTGCAAAATGTATGCCAGGCCTGTAAGTGGCGCTGTGGTGCCAAAGCAAAAATAAGCGACGAAATGTTGGGCATGCGCACTAATATTTATACATGGTTGCCCTGTGGGTCCATTTTCGTGGTTAAGTCAAATTCAGGTGCTGAACTATGTCGTCGATATTGCTCTGTTCTTCCTGGAGATATTCCAGAAGAAGAAGATTCTGTTGTAAGCCCGACAGCAGGGTGAGTAGCATTAGCAGCAACTGCGCCATTGTTGTTGTGATACTGGTCGCGCATGCGTGTTTAGAGGCGACGCTATGACGCATGCGTGTAAAAAAAAATATGCGGTTAGAGCGTAAAGATGGAAACGCGAAAACGGCGTTTCGAAATCTTCCCACTCTGAAGGCTGAATAAAAAAAAGATCGTTTACAGACCCCCGAAACGCCGGCTTCGTGTGGATGAGAGGCTGGTTTGGTGAAAAATTTGTGCGTTTAGGCCAGGGTTCGTCTTCGTGTGGACGGGGCCTCAAACTCACTGCGGATCCAGACATTTTAATTGAGAAAGCTTCCTGGAGAGGTGGCGAAACGTCTTCAAATCTTGGAAACCAAGTACAGTGGATATTTTTTGAATATTTACGGAATGACTGACCTGGATGACTGAGAACCTTCATCAGCATATAATGCATAATTCATAGTAGATCAGGAAGTATTTGCTTTATGATGAAGCCTTGTATGCTTAAAACCATTCCTTTATTCTACATTTTCTCAGCTTGTCTGTCTGCTATACTAACCAATATGTGTTTAACTAGATCTGCTATTTTCACATTTGTGAGACTTTTTTTCATAAAGTCGGGAAAGTTTATTTGAATTCTATAGATCAAAGTTTTCTGTCCAACAGCAATGATGAACTGAACGGTAACATTCTATACCCAGCTATTGTAGTATCTATGCTAGAGCTGTCAGTCTTATAAAGCATGTGGTTATTTTTCAAAATTGTAAAAGTTAACTGTTTTATGAATTTCAACATAAAACTGACTAAAAACCTTGAGTTTTAGTCGACTAAAACTAATGACAGTTTTCATCCTGAGGACTAAAACTAAATCTAAGATGGCAGTCAAAAACAACACTGGGTGGTGTTTACATTCCAGGTGAGGGTGTCTGTGATGTACACCCCCAGGAATTTGGTTCTGTTGACCACCTCTACAGCTGAGCTGTTGATGAGCAGTGGAGCGTGGTTAGGCCGGTTCTTCCTGAAGTCCAAGATGATCTCCTTCTTCTCCAGGTTCAGGATCAGGCTGTTATCTCTGCATCAGTCCACCAGCTGCTCCACCTCCTCTCTGTAGTCCAGGTCGTTGTCGTCTCTGATGAGGCCCACCACCCTCTGCAAACTTCATGATATGATTGGTGGTGAACCTGGGGATGCAGTCATATCAGAGTGAACCGCAGGGGGCTCAGGATTCAGCCCTGAGGGGAGCCTGTGCTCAGGGTGATGACATCAGAGGTGTTCTAACTGACCTGGACTGACTGAGCTCTGTTTGTGAGGAAGCCTAGCAGCCAATAGCAGAGGGGTGTATTGAAGCCCAGCTGTTCCAGTTTGCCCATGAGATGCTTTGGGATGATGGTGTTGAAAGCCTAACTGAAGTCAAGGGACAGCATCCGCACGTGGCTGTTCTTCTCCAGGTGTGCCAGGCTCAGGTGAAGAGCAGAAGAGATTGGGCCCTCAGGGGAGCGGTTGCATGGGTAGGCAAACTGGAAGGGGTCAAATGTTTGGGGGGAGACTGGAGACCATGTGTTCTTTAACCAACCTTTCGAAGCATTTTAAAAACACTTAAAAGTGATTGTCTTGAATTCATCTTCAAGGCAAGGTAAGGTAAGGCCAATGCATGAGTCATTAGAGAGGTAGTGAACACAACTTTCGATGGCTTTTATTAAAAATGTAATGTGAAAATAAAACAAAAAACTATATGAAACTTCTTCAAATATAACATATATCCATAGTCGGTAACAAAAGTAACATTCAATAAATTGAACTTTATACAGATTTTAACTTGGTTATCTTTTTCACTGCTTTTGAGTTTTGCGCCGAGGACAATAAATCATAGATCCCCAGATAAACAGGGTTGATTCAAATTACGTTTTTTCCATATAAATTTTCCACATCATACAATATTGCAG